ATATTACTTTTATTAGCAATTTAGACATTACACTAAATTTAAACACTTTTAAAGCTCGTCTTAAAACCCATTTATTTTACTTGGCTTTCAACAACCAGCGGGATTTAGTTTTAAATTGTATTTTTTTGTTTTTAAACCGTTTTTAATCACCTTTTTATTATGTTGTGTTTTAATGTACAGCACTTTGTATCAGCTGTGGTTGTTTTAAAGTGCTTTATAAATAAAGTTGTTATGGTATGGTATGGTATTAAAAACATTTCATAAGTTGGCATTAAGTTGTCTAAAATGCCACAGTGTGACAAGGCCTTAATTAATAAAACTATAGTAAAAAAACAAACAAACAAACAAACAAAAATGAACACTGTTAAAAAACATAAAAATACGTTTAAATTGATGCAAGAAGCTGAAGTAGAAATAAAGGCAAACTAATAGCTAAAATGAGCAAAATTCTAGCTGAAATATACCGTAGGCTATCCATAAGTAGCAAGAAATGTATCAAATGCTAAAAGTAGCAAAAGGCTAGCTAAAAGCTAAACGAACGGTTCCTCAAAGCAAAGACAAAACAAATAATGAGTGAGGGTCAAATCATATTTCAATGTTTTTGAAGGATTTGAAGAGATTTCAATTTATTTCCATATGGAAACGTTTTTAAAATAAAGTTAAAAATTTAGAAAAGTATTTAATTCACAAAAACTTAAAAGCCACAGCTCCCATCTGAGCTGAACATTTTGATACACAAGTGACAAAAACACCACAGAATTCGCTGCACTGAACATACAAAGAAAAKAAAGCAGGAAAATAAGCTGAAGCTGAATCAGTATTCACACAATAAACCTCAGAAACAGGGAGGAAGCTWCGGCCGAACCGTCTGGTTAATAAGCAGCATCGACTTCACTGAGCTGGAGAGGAAAGATAAGCAAGTGGAAGGTGGAAAAYGTGAAGTAGTAAACACTCAATAGAGGTAATTGCAAATAAAGAGGTGACTGTGATTGATGACCTGCTCATCTGCCCCTCCTCCCTCACATCTGAGCCTGCAGTGTGAACTCAGCCTATGATGTGTGAAGGCCAGCAGATGTGCTCATAACTCTGCCTTTATTTCATTTTGATTGTGCAGAAATAAAACACTAAAAATGGAGACGGAATTTGGTTTTCTGGAAAAGGCAGTTGCTTCCCTTTATGTAAAAACACAGCACATTTACAGCGGGTAAAATAAGTATTGAACACGTCAACATTTTTCTCAGTAAATATATTACTAGAGGTGCTAATGACATGAAATTTTCACCAGATGTYGGTAACAACCCAAGTGATCCATACATACAAAGAAATCAAACCATAAATGTCCAGAAATGAAGTTATTTGTAATAATGTGGAATGGCACAGGGAAAAAGTATTGAACACATTTACTGAAATGTATCTAATACTTTGTACAAAAGCCTTTGTTGTCAATGACAGCTTCAAGACGCCTCCTGTATGGAGAAACTAGTGGCATGCATTGCTCAGGTGTGATTTTGGCCCATTCTTCCACACAAACAGTCTTCAAATCTTGAAGGTTTCGTGGACCTCTTCTATGAACTCTGATCTTTAGTTCTTTCCATAGATTTTCTGTTGGATTCAGGTCAGGTGATTGGCTGGGCCATTCCAGCAGCTTTAGTTTCTTTCTCTGAAACCAACTGAGAGTTTCCTTGACTTTGTGTTTGGGCTCATTGTCTTGCTGAAATGTCCAGCCACGTTTCATCTTCATCATCCTGGTAGATGGAAGCAGATTTTTATCAAGAATGTCTCTGTACATTTTTCCACTCATCCTTCCTTCAATTATTTGAAGTTTGCCAGTACCATATGCTGAAAAACAGCCCCACGCCATGATGTTCCCACCTCCAAACTTCACTGTTGGTATGGTGTTTTTGGGCTGATGTGCAGTGCCATTTGACCTCCAAACATGATGTGTATTCTGGCATCCAAACAGTTCAATGTTGGTCTCATCTGACCAGACTATATTCTCCCAGTATTTCACAGTCTTGTCTAAATGTTGTGCAGCAAACTTTAAAGGAGCTTCAACATGCTGTTTCTTCAGCAGTGGAGTCTTGCGTGGTGAGCGTGCATACAGGCCATGGTGGTTCAGTGCATTACTTATTGTTTTCTTTGAAACAATCGTACCTGCTAATTCCAGGTCTTTCTGAAGCTCTCCACAAGTGGTCCTTGGCTCTTGGACAACTCTTCTGATAATTCTTTTCACTCCTCTGTCAGAAATCTTGTGAGGAGCACCTGGTCGTGGTCAGTCTATGGTGAAATAATGTTCTTTCCACTTCTGAATTATGGCCCCAACAGTGCTCACTGGAACCTTCAGAAGTTTAGACATTCTTCTGTAACCGATGCCATCATTATGCTTTGCAACAATAAGGTTGTGAAGGTCTTGAGAGAGCTCTTTACTTTTACCCATCATCAGATGGTTCTTGTGTGATACCTGGCCATCATTTGGGACTGAACCAGCTGATATCAACTTGCACTGACAAGGGGCAGGCTTGTTTTCTAATTACTGAGAGAGTTCAGCTGGTGTCTTGGCTTTCCATGCCTTTTTACACCTCCCTTTCTTCATGTGTTCAATACTTTTTCCCTGTGCCATTCCACATTATTACAAATAACTTCATTTCTGGACATTTATGGTTTGATTTCTTTGTATGTATGGATCACTTGGGTTGTTACCGACATCTGGTGAAAATTTCATGTCATTAGCACCTCTAGTAATATATTTACTGAGAAAAATGGTGACGTGTTCAATACTTATTTTACCTGCTGGATATGCATCTGATGAGAAAGAGTTGGGAATATGTTGGTTATTTTTATTTTATTTTATTTTTAAAGGTAACGGATCCTCTGTGGACAAATACCAACAGCAAACAAAGAGGCTGAAAAAAGTGAACGTGTTGGAGCAAACAAGATTAGGATTAGAGAGGAGGAGGATTCCACCTCAGGGACTAAGATTYAAGATTAAGACACCAGGACTAATGGCAATCCTGCAGATAATTAAAGCTCTGCTCTCTGCTACAGAGTGGCTCACACACGGGCGTACATGGTTGGTATGTTTGTGTGCGTGTCACGTTTTTGGTCACATTTAGGCCTAACACAAGTGATGCATGTCACCCAACACATTTTGTTGTCAGAATTTTAAGATCATCTTATATTGAGAAATGACAGAGATGTTTTTTTCCCCTGTAAAATTCACAGATTATAGCCATTTCTGTGTTTAAGGTAGCTTAAAGCTGTGGCAGTCATCTTCAATTAGATCAACTACAAAAGTCATTCAATTGTAAAAAATACATCCAGTTATTATTTCCTGAAAGTTTCAATAACATTTGTCCAAGGGTTTAGGTGATATTTTGCTAACAGAAAGGCAGA